TTCGTCTACGCCGGGAATCGTCCACCGCGTTCGCGTCTGGAAACGTACGAAAATGAATTCGGGCAATGTGTTCCAGATCATGTGGCCATCGGGCGTGGCTGTCTCAGCGGGCACCGCAGACCAACCACACACGACGCCGCGGCACCCACGCAAAATCTTAAAGTCATGAAGGTGCTCACGTGCTTGCACGGGCATGCCCAGACACAGAGGGAGCACCCCGTACCGATTGCCACAGTCGGCGTCGCTGCGTTGCAACCACGTCAGCTTGTCTTGCGCGATGTCAGGTTTCTCGTGCAGGGCGTGCGACGAAATTCGATCTGTGGCCACAGCATAGTGTAGACGTTGGTGACGCGTTACCGCCCAGCGTTCGGCCCGCTGCTTGTTAGCATGACATTTAACTCCATTTGTGTGGAAGAGGGCACGCGCCAGCTCAAAATCACTGAAGCGCGGGTCATCGGGGCCCGTCGCAACCAACTGCTTGCTGGCGCGCTCAGTCCGACAAAACGCACACTCGAGCGCTTGGATGGTAGTTGGCGTTGACTCATATTCGGACAAAAGTTGACAAGTAGCCTGTCCGCATGATGCTTGTGCGGTGGCGGTGGACCAGCTACCGCACACCTTGGTTGGTTTGCCGTGGAGGAAAGCATGATTGTCTTCCGACAGGCGACCATGCCGCAACTCCGCTTGCAGCTCTTGCAGCCAACCATCTTGCGTGCGTTCACAACACGTCAGTTCCGTGACCCCTTGCACTCCGCCTTGGCGGCTGCTTGCCCAAACGAGTTGCTGGCCTTGAAGGCTCAGAGGCAACTTTTTGGACGAAATGCCGGTGACGAGGGATTTGGCCTAGAAATGCCCCACGAGGCGGAGGTAGCTGCCACAAACCGCCGGAAAAAATAACATTGAGTCCACCAAAGGGTGCTACCCAGTAAGTGCTTTGTTTTGCGTATTTCGTTGCTGATAGGTCCATGATGAGTTGACGGCAGCGCGCTTCGAGGCGCGCAAGCATTTCCGCACTGACCATGCTGATTTCATCGATGAGCAACCAACGCCATTGCACCGCCTGTTTTGCTAAATCCAATATGCGTTGCGCATCAATGATGTGGTCATTTCCATGCCATGCTGACCCTAACGCTTTGTGGATCGTTTCACCGTCCAGAGGCTCAGCGTTCACCGCTTGGAATGCGACGACTTGGAATTCAACACCTTGCCGCCAGCCTAAGCAATGTTCGAAAAGTTCGCAGCGCAACAAATTTAAAACATACGATTTGCCTGTGCCGGGTCCACCGTGCAAAGCCCATCGCAAGGCCTCCGTGTTGATTTCGGCCATCCCGCCACGATCTTGCCCACTCACAGCTTCTGCTTTGACTCTTGCACACACAGTTTCTAGGAATGCCAATTGCATGCTCGAGATTGCATTTCCCGCTGCTGTTGATGTCGACGAGGAACTGATCCACCTTCTGTACTGTGTCATGAGCTACTGCTTGCCAGGATCCGGCAGTCGGTGCTGTTGCTTGCGGTGTCGGCGTTTGGCCTCGCTTGCGTATAGTCTTCAAAGCTTGTCGGGTATCGGCCACCGCCTGTGCTTCATACGGATTCCTGCCTGGAACAGGAACTGCAGTGGGCGGGGCTTGCCAAGCTGCTTCAGCTTGCTGTGCTGCCTCTTGATAACTTGCAAGCAAGGGATCATCCATAGCGGCTGCAGCACCACGCTTTGAATTTTCTGCATGCTTGCCGGTTTGCCGAAACGATGTTTGCATAGCTACAGGCAAGGTGGCAGGCGTGACCACCAAAGCTTCATCGACTCCACTGTCGTCGCTATTGCCGTCTTCGACGTTGGTGGGTCGCACCCGGTAAACAGACAGAAAATTTCCGACGTATCGTTTTGTTTCTTTGCATGGAAGATGCGACAACCACAGGCGCATGGCCGCGACCCAGGTTTCATCTGGCAATTTGAGGCGACCCGCAAAAGGGACATTAGCTGAAGCTGCAGATACATTCAAAGTCCACGCGCAAAAGTATGTCATCGTTAAGCGCGCATTCGTTTCCGCTGCGTCAGCTTTGTGCACGGGCACCGGCGAAGTCTCGAAGTGGGGACAACAAGGTCGCATGCGACGCTGCAAATAACAGCGGTGCCGCAAGATTTCTGTTGCAGTGCCGGCTTCCAATAGAATTCGATCAGCCGATGCCTTCACGCTGAGTTTATAATGTAAACTTGGTTTCAACCGTAGCTCTTTGTCTTTGTCCATTTGGTCATTGATTAGCTTCATCCCTACGTGTGTCAGCGCGACGTCCCAACTTGCCGCCTCTTCGGACTCCCATTCGCGACGTGTTGTTGGCACGCGAGGCAAGGCAATGCGCCATGCTGCGGTGAACTCGTATGGAGACAGCCACCAGACTTCTGACCCAACAGGCCGATGCCCATAGACATCTGCCAAGTTTATTGTTGCCAAATGTCGTACGCCGGACTTTTGTCGCCGAGTCCTAATGTCATGGAACCCTGCGCTGTTTTTTTCCAAAACGACAGCATTTGGCTTCAGGAAGCGCGTAAATTCGCGTTCGACCTGCTCTTCCGTCATTGCGTCATTGACAGACGTTGCTGCTTTCTGGCGTTGCACTTGCGCCAAAGTGCCATCATTCGCGAACAAGGCGACAATTTCGGCTGGTACATCGTCTTCTGGCAACTGCTTGGCCCGTAGTATCACGGCACCCATGTCGACACCTTTGTATGCTCGGTGACCATGGCTGCGATCAAACCGATCACCACGTGACGCCGAACCACAGCTTGGTGCACAATTTTTTGCGGCACGGTTGCTCCTTCTGGCTTGTTTCCCACCTTGATAAGAACAGCAATCTTATCGCGCAATTCGCTTCCGACATGGGGCAGACGACTCATTGCGGCCGTGCTGGTGCTAGGATGCAACCTTTCCAGTTCAGACAAAAGATCTTCCCACTGCAACGGAAAGGTTCGTGGCATTTCCTTTCGCACACAGGCGGTGGCGGTTCATAAACGCATCTTGGGCCAAGCTGCGGTCTGACAGGTATCGCCATTCAATGCTGAAGCATGTCAACGCGGTCAAACACGGACTTGCACTCAAAACTTCTAAGACTGTGCATTGCAGCGCATACAGGTCGCGTGGCGGGTACCCGAGCATCATATCATTTGTCAGCGCCTCTGCCGGCTTCTGTCCATGACGATACAAAGCGTCGCAGCACGCGACGCAAACGGGGACACGGCAATGCGCACACATACGGTTAGCTGGGCAACGGTGTGGACCGTCGCACACTTTGTCCTCGAGGCAAGCTAGTAAAGTGACAGCAAACCCTGGACAAGCTACTTGACAGGTCCATGTTCCAAGTTCCTCCCGAAAGGCAGTACGCGTGTTCGCACCAAGAGAAGCCACGTACTGCTCCCCATACCTCTGGAACCCGAGCAGCGCTTCAAGCTTGTCCGGCTGTTGTTGAAGTACGCGGTTCCACATAGCAGCCCCAACGTGTCGCTGACTGAAGTTCTCCCTGAAACGACGAAGGCAACGCCGATCCAAGGAGCGTTGGCGACGGGGGCGAACATTTGGCAACGGCATGTCAACATCTCTAAGTACGTTTGGTACGCAGCCTGCATCATGAGTGTTGCTCAGATGCCGTGCATGTGGACAAGTCGGGACTGACAACAATGCATGCGGATGCTCTTGCAACAAATGATTTTCAAGGTCTTTGGCCGACTCGCACTCGAAGAAGCACCCGCGAAAAGCACAGTGGTGACTTCGCAGATCATATGCGTGCACATCCGCCCTATTTCCGTTTCTTCTCGATGGTAATGTGGGCGTTTCAGTCAGCAGATCTGCGGCTGTGCGGATAGTGCATTCACGCCTTATGCGTGGATCTCTGTTTCCGTGCGTCGGTTGCCACACGCGGAGAGGGTAAACATCAGTATGCAGACTCATCTGTGTCCTGCGTGTCTTTCGGTACTTCTTTTTGCGTCACTTCTTTGACATGGACCTGTTCCACTTCTGCCGCAGGTTTTTTTTTCGCAAGCGACGGACTGGCACACTGTCAGGTAGTTCCTGGTGCTGCACACCGCCTCGTGAAGTTTTTGTGTTGCTTGTCTTTGACCGAACTGTGTCTTGTGAACCTCGACTTTTTCTTTTTGAGCCTGAAGATGGCCTAGCATATCGGAAAGATCCAACATTGATACCATGACGAAAAAAAATAGCACTGGAAATCGCCAACGATACAAAACAAAAGCTTACTGAGCTAACCCCCCCTCCTTGTCCAAGGGCGCTGCTTTTTTGACCAGGACTTGCGAACATCTGACTGTCGCAGCCACTTGACAGAATCCAAATCTGGAAGAAGCCGATTGAACCAGAAGCAGCAAGCCAAAATGTTGTAGACTGTACATTCTTCTCTTTCAGCTTGCTCGCTTTACATGCAAATGTCCTTTGCTTATCCAGTTGACCTACAAATGTCCTTCTCTGGATGGAAGCCGGTTGAAAGAAAGCAAACCATCGATGCGCTGCAGAACGCACTAGCCAGCAGCTAGGAAAAAATCCTTCACATGAAAATCTGTTTGAATCTGTTTGCATCTATTTTGACCTTACACAAACTTGCAAGCAACCAGTTGCCATTGCCCAAGCGCATGTCAAAATATGCTGTAAACTGTACATTGCTCTCTTTCAACTTGCTCGCTTTCTGTGAAAGTGCCATTTGCTCGGAACACATCGCATACGCGGAGAAGCTACACCAAACCAACAAATATGGTCACTGTCAACTCCAAACCTTGGATCCAACCAAAAAAAGGTGCCTAAGGATGCCAATCGATGACCTTACTGAACCTTAGACCGATGAATCTGCACCACGTGAATGCTTCTGCGCCCTGCTACGATTCAAACATCCAGCCCACGCTCCAATTGCGTCAAGCTATGCTGTACATAGGTCGGGCCTCCGAAGTCTAATAAAGGCATTTGCATCTCTTCGGAGCACGACTTAACATTTGTTTCCTTCCCTCAATCGGCTTCATCAGTTGCTGGAGCTGATGTCGACATCACTTCACGCACGCGGAGACCATCGCAGCTCACCTTGGAACACCGGTCAAAAGTCGGTAAAGCTGCCAACACGGCCTTCCGCTTCTGCTTCTCTGAACCGACGACCCCCAGCATCTGCGTCATGACATTCAATACCTTTGGCGCCGTGTCTCCCATCTTGTCCATCTGTGCCCCTTTCTTAACCCGATAGCTCGCATCAGCATCAGCCTGACAGATCCCCGACATCACTCCATCCTTGCATAATCAAAGCTATTACAACTGCTCCCCTTTCCCTATGCCTATAGCAACTTGCAGGTCCTTAGCAAACCAATGGAGTGGGTGGTTCATCAACAATTGAGTGTCGTGGGTTCCTCGAGGGCACTTGCTGATCTTGAAGGAAATTTAAATGCAACTAACCTGGTGTGTGTGTGTGCATGCTAGCACCGTTTCTGGTTTGGTGTCTTGCTAAAAAAGGTTATTGGGATCGAGAATACATCGGGAGCATTGTATGTGTTGTCTGAATACGATATCATCTCTAGAACTGGCTAGGGTATGTAGAGCATTGTAGACCAGGAAAGATCCAATGAATGTTGTGTATTTCCTTTGCGATTCAAGCTCCGGGAAGCTTCCTGGCCTTGGCCAGGAAGAAAGTTTTGCACTTTGCACACAAAATCGAAGGTGCAGCAGCTAACATCAAGGAACTCGGTCTCAGCTGTTTTTTGTTTAATGTTTCACTTGCAAGAAATGATATGTTTACAGTGTTATAGTTATAGCCATCAGCTCCCCTTTCCCTGCCCCACCTTCTCCTTGTGCGCTTGCTCACTCAGTGGCACCGCCGCCGCAAACACAGCAGTCACTTTGCGGATTTCCGCCAAGAACGGTGTTAGACCAGATTGTTCTTTGAGAACGACAAACATCTGATGCTTGCTGTTAGCTCTCACCTTCTTCACCGCAGATGTATCAACATGCTTCTCTAAGAGCCGACGTGCACCATCGTGATCCATCACATGGCTCAAGCTATGCTCTGGTGCGAGCTTCACGACAACACTGGCCATGATCTGAGATCTACCGTATCCCGACACTTCTTCTACCTAGCAGCCGAAAGGAGTTCTGCGATGACACCTTCCACTCATATGACTGTGCTTGGGATCTTCAGCCATCTTGGGAATGAACCGCCCCTATCCAAAATTAGCAGACACCGCTTGAGGTATGCATTGCTCCGAGCCCAGCCTTACGGAACTGTAGGTAAATTTGCTCCAAGGACTAGTCACTTCTGATAATCAATACTTGCATGGATGGCCGTGAAACTTCAAAAGTATTGAGTGGTCATTCCACCCCGACCAGTCCATGAAGAAAGTCAAGCTTCTGACATGATTGGGATTTAGACCATTACACTCATGAATTACTACTACCTATTGGCCTCGCTAAGGACCTGCAATTTGCTATGGCTATGCATCAGCACCATACAAATACAAGAAAAGCAGCGACGAATCACACCGAAAACTTACCATCTAACATGTTGGATTTTCTGGTAGATTGCCTCATCAACCAATGCATTGACATGACATGTTGTCATAGATACGTATATCATCATACTATGCATGCAGTAATATACTGTCTATGTATTATCTGTATTTCTATATACAATGTCAATATGTCGAATAGCATTGTAATGCACAATCTCTAATACATGTCATTTTTTTTGGATCTTTACATCAAGCCAAGTTGTTGATTGGATATATTCCTGTGATGGGCCCCGTCATGGCATGGCCGGCCTTGCATCGCGGCCTCCGACAAAGGCGTGTTGCCTCGACCGTCTTGCACAAAGGTGGTCCAAGGTGACTTCTTATAATGGATTAGCCATCAGTTTTTCGGAGAATTGACAATTGAATCTAAAAATTTGGGGATCTATATGTGCATCTAATGTGCATATCTAATGCTCCCAATGATACGTGCCTTAAGCACACTTACGACACACTTCAATTTGCCTCGTTATGTATATATATATATATTTATTTATGTATGTAATATAGAAAATTATATATATATATAATATAAATATATGATATAAATATGTCAGTCTTACAGCATCGTTTCCTTCCAAATGATTTGCATTTTCATGAGGTCTTCCATGGAGGAATTTATCAACATAATGTTTGCATATCATAGGTATCTATACATTCATATAATATATCAAACATACAAGCCTTATCATTTATCAACTACAAAAATTGTTTTCATTGTCATATAATATGTATACAATACAAGTACAAGTGAGATCTATGAACCCTCCACCAAATCCCTCAGCAGCAGTCTCTATGGACCTCCATGAAAATGAAGGAGAGCTCTAAATAACAATTCTGATGAGTAACATGAACATCATGACTCAGAATCAAATGGATGTATGTAAATGTAAATGTATATACAAATGTATATATATATATATATATTTCTTTTTAATTCCGCTTCAATTCAACCACCGACTCGTCATCACTTCGTGATACTCCCTTGTATCTAGTTAAATACACCATCGTATATTTCCATGTTTCATGCTGGCTATCCTGATATCTAGCTAACTGGTTGAACGTTACCAACCGAGCTTTAGTTCACCTCAGCTTGCAAGCGCCTCACTGGTCGTTGTCCGGGTCAGGCTTCGCCCTAGCGACAACGGCCGCTTTTGCCATGAATTCTTAACGGAAATGATAAAACTACCAAACAAGCAAAACCACAGGTATATGCATGCAGGTTTCATCCTCTCAACACCTCTAGTTTTACTGGTTAAATGACCTGCCGCAACATGCGCACCACACCATTTTGACACTGTGCTTTCTGCGTTTCTCTGCCATGGTTATCACAACCCACTAATCCTGACACAAGCCGCGGACCACATCGCACACAACGTGCAGGAGAAGCCAGCACCAAATCAACAATCATGTTAACTCCAAACCTTGAGATCTAACCACAGATGCTGCCTCAAGATAACGCCATGAGCTTTAGATTGATGAATTGGCTTCTGCCTCACGCTGGAGTTCAAACATCCAGCCCACGCTCCAATTGCATCAAGCTATGCTGTACATAGGTCATGGCCTCCAAAGTCTAGGATGCAGTCATAGTAGGTATCAGGTATCACCATTTGGTAAATCCAATGTTGCAGCTATATGGAATTAAAGATGATATACGCATTTGCATCCATCCGGAGATCACCGCATGTATGCAGTCAGCCGGCGGCTTCAGGCTCAGGGAAGTAGCCGGAAAGTGGTTGCATGAGCTGGAGCGACATCACTGGCAATGAGCAAGACATGGAAAGTCTCTGCCACAATGCTGCGGATCGCACCCATCAACTTTAAGTCGCTGTCATTGCTCAGATGCAACGGCCGGGTGGTCCGCACATACCCATCCGTAGTGTTCGTGCCTTCAATCTCCAGCTCATCCATGCACTCCTTCAAAGATTTCAAAGGGAATGTGTTTCCCGTCAATCGCAGAAACACGTCTGCCAATTGCGACTTGTGACAGCTGAGCGTCAGGTGCCCGCGGCTTGCGGGAGGCGCAGCAGTGCACAGGCTATGGTTCGGATTGCTGCCGCCCACATGAGGCAAAACTTGTCCAAGCTCGATCTCGGCAGGGGAGTACACGTGCAGGTCGATGTTGTGAAGGTTCGGAATGCGGAGCTGAAGCCAAGCCACAAAGTTGTGCAGCAATGTCAAGGCAGCAATTGGCCCAGAGGGTCCTCCACCAGTGTAGAGACTCTTGGCCCAGGTTGGTGCACTGCCAAAGGCCACATGAACTTGCATGAACTCCGCCTCGGATTCGCAAGAATGGAAGCAGAACGCCAAACCAAAGACAACAATCAAAAAAGAAGCAAGTGCAACCGAGGCACAAGCTTGATGATCTCGGATGGTGTCTCGGGATCTTGGTTGTGCAAGATCTGCAAGTACGCAGCCAAGTTGTCCTTGAACTGGTACAAGCAACTTGGGTGCTGCTTAGTGCCTGGGTGCTCGAGAATCAACACATAGGCACTCTCTTGAGGTTCGAAGTCAGGGTTCACCCGAGCCCCGTTGGCCGCATACTTCAAAATAGTCACCTCCAAAGCTCTGGGGCCCTCAGTCGGCTTCGCAACCTTGGGCTTGCTGCTACGACGCGGGGTCAGGCCTGCAAAAGGTGCAGCAATGCTAGCAATGGCAGGGCTTCCAGGTGGCGTGGGTGATGGAAGCGGAGAGGTCGGGGCAGCATCAGACGCCTCAGTAGCAGCAGCGCTAGCTTGAGGAGAATTAGCAGAACGCTTCTGCGGAGTAACAGGTTCAGCAGCTGCCCTCTTACGCATGGCTGCAGTCGTCACTGACAATGAGCAGAAGAGAACACCGATGCTACAGCTTGGACCGCAACATGCCGCCGACTTATGAGCCCTGGTCCAACTAGATACCTGCTGTTTCAACTCAGAGTACCTCACCTTTCACTTTAGAGTGGTCACCCACTTGTTACTCAACCTGCCGTATTTCATATCATCAGGTCATCCATGACATAGAACTAAGCTAGCAGGAGTCTCTATGGCCCTGCATAAAACTGAAGAGGATTGTGTGAACATGTTTACAAAGGATAATTCAGAATCAAGTGTAGTAGTAGTAGTAGTAGTAGTAGTAGTAGTATAGTAGCAGTAGCAGTAGCAGTAGCAGTAGCAGTAGTAATTCGTGTTGTTGTTGTTGTTGTTGTTGCAGTTGAAGTAGTGGTCGTAGTAGTCGTAATCGTCGTAGTAGTCATAATGCAAGTAGTAGTGGTCGTCGTCGTAGTCGTCGTGGTCGTAGGTTGAAGTAGTGGTCGTAGTAGTCGTAGTAGTCGTAATCGTCGTAGTAGTCATAATGCAAGTAGTAGTGGTCGTCGTCGTAGTCGTCGTGGTCGTAGGTTGTTGTGGTTGTTGTGGTTGTTGTGGTTGTTGTGGTTGTTGTGGTTGTTGTGGTTGTTGTGGTTGTGGTTGTTGTGGTTGTGGTTGTGGTTGTGGTGGTTGTTGTTGTTGTTGTTGTTGTTATCGTTGTTGTTGTGGTTGTGGTTGTGTGACTTCTAGTTGACTTACTGCAGTTAGTTAAGTTAGTTAACTGACACCTCAAAATGGGCTGCAAATCCCCAGTTTTTCAACATTTTACTTGCCAATATGCTTCGCGCCACAACTCATCAGAAAAACACAGTGTTTCCAACTTTCCTACCTTTTCGCGCACCCGCATCTTCTCTCTTATACCTTTCTCCCTATCTCCTCTTCTCGCTTCTGGCTTTCACCCTGTCTGAGCTTCTTCCTGGCTGTGCTTTTGCATCTGTCCATATTGTCAGCACCAAGGTGGGCCAACATAGCCCCAAGATGGACCAACATAGCCCCAGGATGGGGCAACATAGCCTTAAGATCCTGCTCCCAGCTACCCATATCACCTCAACATGGGCCCCTGGCCGGCTGTCGCGCGTAAGCGCTTAAATCCGGCCAGGGGCCCCCTGGCCGTGTCCTTGCCGTACGGCAGTTCTCTCCTCTCCGTAGGAGAGAGGGGCCGCCGCCCCTGCCGCCGACCACCCGGTCCGGCCAAAAACCCCCACGTTTTACGGTGTTTTGTGCTCTTCCCACTTTTTCCAATTTTTCGGATCTTGTGGTTTAAGATGGGTCAACATGGGCCAAGATAGGCCTCAAGATGGGCCAACATAGGCCTCAAGATGGGCCAACATAGCCCCAAGATGGGCCAAGATAGCCCCAAGATGGGCCAACATAGCTCCAAGATGGGCCAACCTAGCCCCAAGATGGGCCAACATTGCCCCAAGATGGGCCAACATAGCCCCAAGATGGGCCAACATAGCCCCAAGATCGGCCGCCGACCCTCAAAATATCCTGCGTTTTACAGTGTTTTTTTGCTGTTCCCATTTTTCGGATCTTTTGGCTCCACGCGGGTCAACATGGGCCAACATAGGCCTCAAGATCGGCCGACATAGGCCTCAAGATCGGCCCACATAGCCTTCAAGATAGGCCAACATAGCCCCAAGCTGGGTCAACATAGCTCCAAGCTGGGCCCACATTGCTCGCAAGATAGGTCAACATAGGCCAACAGATGGGTCAACATAGTTGGGCCCCCCCCGAAAAACACCAAAAATCCTTCAGGAGGGTGGGGGAGAGGTTTTTGGACGGAATCCGGGTCGCTCATAAGCGTCTCCAAGAGCAAAAGGCCCCCCCCCGTTTGGAGGGTACCTAAAATCGGAAGAAAGTGCCGTTTTGACGCCTTTTTCGGACGATTTTTCGCTTTTCGAAAGTCACAAAATGCTGTAAATTACAACATTTTTGCGTTTTACCGTCTTTTGCGGAAGCCATGCAAAAACGCAGAAAATGCTGTAAATACCAATACTTTTTGGACCCGAGATGCACAAAACACTGCAAATACCAGTGTTTTTGAAAGCCAAGTAAAAAAACACTGTAAAATACGGCATTTTTGGCGGGTTGATCGCAGAAAATGCTGGTATTTACAGGGTTTTTGCAATTTCAAGAAAACGTGGAAGGCACGAAACACTGTAAATAGCGGTGTTTTGGCCACTTCTGGACGCCGAAACGCTGGTATTTACGCAGTTTTTTGCCCGTGGCGGCGCCAAACCCCTGTAAATTACAGCATTTTCTTCCCTTTTTGAACCGATCTTTTGCGTTGATGAACGCAAAAAATGCTGGTATTTACGCGTTTTTCAAAAAATCGAAGATCGTGACGTGAACGAAACCCTGTAAATAATAACAGTGTTTTAGCCACTTTCGGGGACTAAAACTGTGGTATTTACGCGGGTTCTTGCCATCTGACAGCGCAAAATGCTGTAAATTACAACACTTTGTGCGCTGTTTATGTTCAATTTTTTAACCTGCGATGCTTTCACCTGTTCTTTGCATTCTTCCACAAGAAACAATGTTGCAGATTGAAACTGGACGACAGCGTGACCCGAAAGAAAGCTGGATGGAGGAGTCGCACAGAAGCTTTTACACATACAGGGGCTTTTACACAGAGAACTCTTTACACAAAGGAGCTTTTTACACACAGAAGGTTTTACACAGAGCAGTCTTTACTCTAAGGAGCTTTTGCACATAAACGTCTAGGAGCCTTTACACACAGAAGCTGTTACACAAAGAAGTCTTTACACAGAGGGCTTTTTACACACAGACGCGTTTGCACACAGAAGCTTTTACACAGAGAAGCCTTCACACAGAGGAGCTTTTACACACAAAAAAATTTACACACAGCAAGCTTTTACACACACAGGGGCTTTTACACAGAGAAGTCCTTACACAAAGGAGCTTTTTACACACAGAAGGTTTTACACAGAGAAGTCTTTACTCTAAGGAGCTTTTGCACACAAACGTCTAGGAGCTTTTTCACACAGAACTTTAAACACGAAGAAGGCCTGACAGAGAGAGTTTTTACACACAGACGCGTTTGCACTCAGAAGCTTTTACACAGAGAAGCCTTTACACAGAGGCGCTTTTACACACAAAAGCATTTGCACACAGCAAGCTTTTACACACACAGAAGCTTTTACACAGAGAAGCCTTTACACACAGGAGCTGTTTACACACAGAAGGTTTTACACAGAGAAGTCTTTACTCTAAGGAGCTTTTGCACACAAACGCCTGGGAGCCTTTACACACAGAAGCTGTTACACAAAGAAGTCTTTACACAGAGGGCTTTTTACACACAGACGCGTTTGCACACAGAAGCTTTTACACAGAGAAGCCTTTACACAGAGGAGCTTTTACACACAAAAGCATTTACACACACACAGGGGCTTTTACACAGAGAAGTCTTTACACAAAGGAGCTTTTTACACACAGAAGGTTTTACACAGAGAAGTCTTTACTCTAAGGAGCTTTTGCACACAAACGTCTAGGAGCTTTTTCACACAGAACTTTTTACACGAAGAAGGCCTGACAGAGAGAGTTTTTACACACAGACGCGTTTGCACACAGAAGCTTTTACACAGAGAAGCCTTTACACAGAGGAGCTTCTACATACAAAAGCATTTACACATACAGGGGCTTTTACACAGAGAAGTCTTTACACAAAGGAGCTTTTTACACACAGAAGGTTTTACACGGAGAAGTCTTTACTCTAAGGAGCTTTTGCACACAAACGTCTAGGAGCCTTTACACACAGAAGCTGTTACACAAAGAAGTCTTTACACAGATATATAGCTTTCACACACAGACGCGTTTACACACAGAAGCTTTTACACAGAGAAGCCTTTACACTTTACACAGAGAGTTTTTACACACGGAAGCTTTTACACACAGTGAAATCTTTACACAGACGTTTTACACAGAGAAGCTTTCACACACAGAAGCTTTTACACAAAGAAGTCTTTACACAAAGTGGTTTTTACATACAGAAACTGTTACACACAAAAGCTTTTGCACAGAGAAGTCTTTGCACAGAGGCGCCTTTACACGAAGTAACAAGTTGAAATTGGCAGCAGTTCTTCGGAAAAAACCCTTGCCATGAACTTTTTTCAAAAAACATAAGGAATATATTTCTGAAGCAGGTCCCCATCCAAAGCTTTCAAGCCCACACTGCGATGAAATGGAGGGTCGAGAAATCCGGCGGAGCCGACGAGGGGCGTCAGCCCTTAAAATTCGGCTCTGCCGGCTCCACACGAGTACGCTGACAAATGCGTCACGAGCGTCCCAGAGCGACTAGAGCTCTATGGTGAGGCGCCCCCCAAGCCGCCGACCCTCCGACGCCGGGCCCCGAAAAACACCATAAATCCTTCAGGAGGGTGGGGAAGAGCTTTTTGGACGGAATCCGGGTCGCTCATAAGCGTCTCCAAAAGCATAATCCCGCCCCCCCCCATTTGGAGGGTACCTAAAATCGGAAAAAAGTGCCGTTTTGACGCCTTTTTCGGACGATTTTTCGCTTTTCGAAAGTCACAAAATGCTGTAAATTACAACATTTTTGCGTTTTACCGTCTTTTGCGGGAGCCATGCAAAAACGCAGAAAATGCTGTAAATACCAATACTTTTTGGACCCGAGATGCACAAAACACTGCAAATACCAGTGTTTTTGAAAGCCAAGCAAAAAAACACTGTACATTACGGCATTTTTGGCGGGTTGATCGCAGAAAATGCTGGTATTTACAGTGTTTTTGCAATTTCAAGAAAACGTGGAAGGCACGAAACACTGTAAATAGCGGTGGTTTGGCCACTTCTGGACGCCGAAACGCTGGTATTTACGCAGTTTTTTGCCCGTGGCGGCGCCAAACCCGTGTAAATTACAGCATTTTCTTCCCTTTTTGTACCGATTTTTTGCCTTGATGAACGGAAAAAACGCTGGTATTTACGCGTTTTTCAAAAAATCGCTGATCGTGACGTGAACGAAACCTTGTAAATAACAGTGTTTTAGCCACTTTCGGGGACTAAAACTGTGGTATTTGCGCGGGTTCTTGCCATCTGACAGCGCAAAATGCTGTAAATTACAGCACTTGGTGCGCTGTTTATGTTCAATTTTCTTAACCTGCGATGCTTTCACCTGTTCTTTGCATTCTTCCATAAGAAACAATGTTGCAGATTGAAACTGGACGACAGCGTGACCCGAAAGAAAGCTGGATGGAGGAGTCGCGCAGAAGCTTTTACACATACAGGGGCTTTTACGCAGAGAAGTCTTTACACAAAGGAGCTTTTTACACACAGAAGGTTTTACACAGAGAAGTCTTTACTCTAAGGAACTTTTGCACACAAACTTCTAGGAGCCTTTACACACAGAAGCTGTTACACAAAGAAGTCTCTACACAGATATATAGCTTTCACACACAGACGCGTTTACACACAGAAGCTTTTACACAGAGAAGCCTTCACACAGAGGAGCTTTTACACACAAAAACATTTACACACAGCAAGCTTTTACACACACAGGGGCTTTTACACAGAGAAGTCCTTACACAAAGGAGCTTTTTACACACAGAAGGTTTTACACAGAGAAGTCTTTACTCTAAGGAGCTTTTGCACACAAACGTCCAGGAGCTTTTTCACACAGAACTTTTTACACGAAAAAGGCCTGACAGAGAGAGTTTTTACACACAAACGCAATTGCACATAGAAGCTTTTACACAGAGAAGCCTTTACACAGAGGAGCTTTTACACACAAAAGCATTTGCACACAGCAAGCTTTTACACACACAGGGGCTTTTACACAGAGAAGTCTTTACACAAAGGAGCTTTTTACACACAGAAAGTTTTACACAGAGAAGTCTTTACTCTAAGGAGCTTTTGCACACAAACGTCTAGGAGCTTTTTCACACAGAACTTTTTACACGAAGAAGGCCTGACAGAGAGAGTTTTTACACACAGACACGTTTGCACACAGAAGCTTTTACACAGAGAAGCCTTCACCCAGAGGAGCTTTTACACACAAAAGCATTTACACACAGCAAGCTTTTACACACACAGGGGCTTTTACACAGAGAAGTCCTTACACAAAGGAGCTTATTACACACAGAAGGTTTTACACAGAGAAGTCTTTACTCTAAGGAGCTTTTGCACACAAACATCTAGGAGCCTTTACACACAGAAGCTGTTACACAAAGAAGTCTCTACACAGATATATAGCTTTCACACACAGACGCGTTTACACACAGAAGATTTTACACAGAGAAGCCTTTACACTTTACACAGAAAGTTTTTACACACGGAAGCTTTTACACACAGTGAAATCTTTACACAGACGTTTCACACAGAGAAGCTTTCACACACAGAAGCTTTTACACAAAGAAGTCTTTACACAAAGTGGTTTTTTACACACAGAAACTTTTACACACAAAAGCTTTTACACAGAGAAGTCTTTGCACAGAGGCGCCTTTACACGAAGTAACAAGTTGAAATTGGCAGCAGTTCTTCGGGAAAAACCCTTGGCAGGAGCTTTCGGGAACTCACTTGCTCCCCAAAAAAGCCGTCTATTTCCAACAAAGTTCCTATTCGATGAACATTTCAAAAAACATAAGGACTATATTTCTGAAGCAGGTCCCCATCCAAAAGCTTTCAAGCCCACACTGCGATGAAATGGAGGGTCGAGAAATCCGGCGGAGCCGACGAGGGGCGTCAGCCCTTAAATCCGGGCGCCGGCCCCGGGCCGCCGCCCGTGGCATTGCCGGAGGCCTTCGGTGGTAACCGAAGGTTATTTAAGCGCTTACGCGCGACAGCCGGCCAGGGGCCCAACTATGTAGGCCCATTGTGTGGCTATGTTGGCCTATGTTGGCGTATGTTGGCCTATCTTGCGGGCAATGTGGGCCCATCTTGTGGCCATGTTGGCCTATGTTGGCCTCATGTTGATTCATGTTGAGCCAAAAGATCCGAAAAATGGGAACGGCAAAAAAACACTGTAAGACGCAGGATATTTTGATGGTCGGCGGCCTATCTTGGGGCTATGTGGGCCCATCTTGGGGCTATGTTGGCCTATCTTGAGGGCAATGTAGGCCCATCTGCGGGCTATGTTGGCCCATCTTGGGGCTATGTTGGCCCATCTTAGAGCTATGTTGGCCCATCTTGGGGCTATGTTCGCCCATCTTGGGGCTATGTTGGCCCATCTTGAGGCCTATGTTGGCCCATCTTGAGGCCTATGTTGGCCCATGTTGACCCATCTTAAACCACAAGATCCGAAAAATGGGAAAAAATGGGAAGAGCACAAAACACCGTAAAACGCGGGACTTTTTGGCGGGGGGGAGAGGTCGCCGGCAGGGGGCGCGGCCCCTCTCTCCTATGGAGAGGAGAGAAACGCCTTCGGCTATGCCACGGCCAGGGGGCCCCTGGCCGGATATACGGCTGCCGCCCCTGCCGCCGACCACTGCCGACCACCTCCGGTCAATTCTGCCCCACGTTTATCGTTGTAATTTACAGTGTATTCTGCGTGTGCTGTTCAAAAAACATCGTTTTTTACAGGGTTTCGTGGCCTTCGCCGTCTCCAGGTTTCACCTTGGCGACGTTAAATTAAAGGACCGGATAACCCCACAAGTCAACTTCTCCCTAAAATGAGCTTCAATGGTTTTAGCGGGGACAGGGAAGCAAAGAAAGACAAAGGAGATGGTGAAAGATCGAGAAGGTAAAATGGTATGTATGTATGTATGTATGCATGTATGTATGTATGTATGTAGGTCGGTAGGTAGGTAGGTAGGTATGTATGTAAGTTGTTTGTGAGTAAGTTGCTCCGCTTTCTACGAGTTCCACCAGGCTGTGTTATCAAAGCGATGGTGTGCTCAGTTGACTTCTGCTGACCAAAGTAATGTTCTGCACTCTTTCGGGCGCAGCCGCAAATGTTTGCAGATTTGAAGTGACTCCATGTTTGCAGATTTGTTTTGCTTGTTTTGGAAGTTTTCAGATTTTAGAGTTTGTTCAGTGTTGGGTTTTGTTTATGTCTGTTTGCTTCTACGTTTTTGCAATTAAAGCTTCCACTAGATGAGCCTTAGTGTGTGTGTGTGGGTGTGTGTGTGTGTGCGCGCGCGCATTACTTCACCATCGACAAGCAACACCTGGCAGCACAGAAAAAGGATCAAGATGACGAAAGCACAAAATAAAATAGTTCTTTGGTAGAGATCCACAGCGCAGCCTGCAGTTGTTGGCATCGACTCATTGTCGGGCCGTGAGACACGCGCCTGTCCTCCGTCCAAGAAGCTCACTGGAAGGGCACCTGCGGCAGTTGCAAAGACACAGAGGCTTCATGCGTGCTATCTTGTTACTACATGACAGCTGCAATGGCTCGGCACAGCATGAACCCAAAGAACCAATCTATTCTACATAGCTTAACCACAGTAGATATCTTATTGATCAACCGTATACATGGTCCACACTACGCCGCAAGTGCAGCTCCCGGCCTGCGCATTACTTCACCATCGACAAGCAACACCTGGCAGCACAGAAAAAGGATCAAGATGACGAAAGCACAAAATAAAATAATTCTTTGGTAGAGATCCACAGCGCAGCCTGCAGTTGTTGGCATCGACAGCAACAGAGCGCAAAAGTACCTAGCCGCAAAAGGACAGGACGCGTATATGGAGCTAGCTATCAAAGCAACATGCGCAGAAACGATACAATTCAGTCTCTTGCACGAATTGTCTCCTTTTTGTGTGATCAAAATCCTGACAAGACCTGTAGCACTTCCTCCCGCAGTGGGGCCGACTCTAAACGTGTCACGAACAGTCTTGATTTGGCCGTCGCGACCCAGTCATGTCTGCGCATGCAAGAAACAGCATCTGGCATGTCTGCGCTGCACAGCGTTGCTGCAGCGCAGTTCAGCCCTGCCTCTCGACCACAAGCAAGAACAGCACCTGGCCGGAAGTGTGTGTGTGTGTGGAATGCTACAGCTGTTGTCTGCAACTTCTTGTTGGGCCAAAGCGACCAAAACAGAACGACGTGATGAAAGTTTGCATAAAAGAAACAGCATCTGTCATGTCTGCGCCGCACAGCGTTGCTGCAGCGCAGTTCAGCCCTGCCTCTCGACCACGAGCAAGACCAGCACCTGGCCGGAAGTGTGTGTGTGTGGAATGCAACAGGCCGACAGAAGAAAGTAATTAAACATGCCAAAATCAAACATGCCAAAATCAAACATGCCGAAGCACGCGGAACGAAGAAACATGCCGGAAGGACCGCATCTTTGCATGCAAATGACCAAAATTAAACTTGCCAAAATCAAACAGGCCGAAGCACGCGGAAAGAAGAAAGAAACATGCCGGAAGGACCGCATCTTTGTATGCAAAGGACCACACTTAAACATGCCAAAATCAAACATGCCGAAGCACGTAGCAGTCCGAAACGAAGACACATGCCGGAAAAATAAATTTGCCAGCATCAAACATGCCGAATCACGCGGAAAGAAGAAACATGCCGGAAGGACCGCCTCTTTGCATGCAAATGACCAATTTCACTTGACTGACTCGTTCTAGTAGAAGAAAGTACTCAAACATGCCAAAATCAAACAGTTGTAGTTGTGTTGTAGTGGTATGCGTGCTAGAGCTGTTGTCTGCAACTTCTAGTTGAACCAAAGCGACGAAAACAGAACGACATGATGAAAGTTTGCATAAAAGAAACAGCATCTGTCATGTCTGCGCCGCACAGCGTTGCTGCAGCGCAGTTCAGCCCTGCCTCTCAACCACGCACCTGGCCGGAAGTGTGTGTGTGTGGAATGCAACAGGCCGACAGAAGAAAGTAATTAAACATGCCAAAATCAAACATGCCAAAATCAAACATGCCGAAGCACGCGGAAAGAAGAAAGAAACATGCCGGAAGGACCGCATCTTTGTATGCAAAGGACGACACTTAAACACGCCAAAATCAAACATGTCGAAGCACGTAGCAGTCCGACAGAAGAAAGCGCTTAAACATGCCAATGCCAAAATCCAACATGCCGACACACGCTGAAAGACGAAACATGCCGGAAGCAGTGCCATCTGTCTCACGCCTGCCACGCAAAACGACGGTGGATGTGAGTTGGATGTGAGGTTGTGCCACGCCTGCCACGCAAAGTGGCGCGGCGTCACAGGCGCCCAATCCCGGCCCAAGGGCGCCACCCAGTGCCATCTGTGCCACGCCTGCCACGCAAAACGACGGTAGATGTGACTTTGTGCCACGCCTGCCACGTGAAACGACGGTGGATGTCAGGTTGTGCCACGCCTGCCACCCAAAGTGGCGCGGCGTCACAGGCGCCCAATCCCGGCCCAAGGGCGCCACCCAGTGCCATCTGTGCCATGCCTGCCACGCAAAACGACGGTAGATGTGACTTTGTGCCACGCCTGCCACGTGAAACGACGGTGGATGTCAGGTTGTGCCACGCCTGCCACGCAAAGTGGCGCGGCGTCACAGGCGCCCAAGCCCGGCCCAAGGGCGCCACCCAGTGCCATCTGTGCCATGCCTGCCACGCAAAACGGCGTTTGATGTGAGTTTGTGCCACGCCTGCCACGTGAAACGACGGTGGATGTCAGGTTGTGCCACGCCTGCCACGCAAAGTGGCGCAGCGTCACAGGCGCCCAATCCCGGCCCAAGGGCGCCACCCAGTGCCATCTGTCCCACGCCTGCCACGCAAAACGACGGTAGATGTGACTTTGTGCCACGCCTGCCACGTGAAACGACGGTGGATGTCAGGTTGTGCCACGCCTGCCACGCAAAGTGGCGCGGCGTCACAGGCGCCCAATCCCGGCCCAAGGGCGCCACCCAGTGCCATCTGTCCCACGCCTGCCACGCAAAACGACGGTAGATGTGACTTTGTGCCACGCCTGCCACGTGAAACGACGGTGGATGTGAGGTTGTGCCACGCCTGCCACGCAAAGTGCCACATCCCGGCCCAAGGGCGCCACCCAGTGCCATCTGTGCCATGCCTGCCACGCAAAACGACGGTAGATGTGACTTTGTGCCACGCCTGCCACGTGAAACGACGGTGGATGTCAGGTTGTGCCACGCCTGCCACGCAAAGTGGCGCGGCGTCACAGGCGCCCAAGCCCGGCCCAAGGGCGCCACCCAAAACGGCGTTTGATGTGAGTTTGTGCCACGCCTGTGGATGTCAGGTTGTGCCACGCCTGCCACGCAAAGTGGCGCAGCGTCACAGGCGCCCAATCCCGGCCCAAGGGCGCCACCCAGTGCCATCTGTCCCACGCCTGCCACGCAAAACGACGGTAGATGTGACTTTGTGCCACGCCTGCCACGTGAAACGACGGTGGATGTCAGGTTGTGCCACGCCTGCCACGCAAAGTGGCGCGGCGTCACAGGCGCCCAATCCCGGCCCAAGGGCGCCACCCAGTGTCATCTGTCCCACGCCTGCCACGCAAAACGACGGTAGATGTGACTTTGTGCCACGCCTGCCACGTGAAACGACGGTGGATGTCAGGTTGTGCCACGCCTGCCACGCAAAGTGGCGTTTGTGTGTGTGCGTGTGTGTGTGTGAAGTGATTGTCTGTTAAGTTTGTGTATGTTAAGTTTGTGTGTGTGAAATTATTGTATGTTAAGTTTGTGTGTGCAATTATTGTATGTTAAGTTTGTGTGTGTGAAGTTATTGTCTGTTAAGTTTGTGTGTGTTAAGATTGTGTGTGTTAAGTTTGTGTATGTTAAGTTTGTGTGTGTGAAATTATTGTATGTTAAGTTTGTGTGTGTGAAGCTTTGTGTGTGTTAAGTTTGTGTGTGTTAAGTTTGTGTGTGTGAAATTATTGTATGTTAAGTTTGTGTGTGTGTTGTTTGTGTGTGTGTTGTTACGGAGGCGGCGGGAGGAGGAGAAGCCCGGGATACAGAATCAAAAACAAGAACCCCACACAAAGATGTGGGGAAAAACCATGGGTTTTTCATGGTTTTGGGTCTTAGGAAGGGGTCCGGAACGGAAAACTGGACATCTTGACGGCCTTGGTGTCAACATAGGGCCAAATTCGGCCAAGATGTGGGCTACATGGGTCAACATAAGGCCAAGACAGGGGCAAACCTGCGCCAACATAGGGCCAACATCGGCCAAGATGTGGGCTACATGGGCCGACATAAGGGCTACATGGGTCAACATAAGGCTAAGATAGGGGCAAGCCTGCGCCAACATAGGGCCAACATCGGCCAAGATGTGGGCTACATGGGCCGACCTAAGGCCAAGATGTGGGCTACCTGGGTCGACATTACGCCAAGATGTGGGCTACATGGGCCAACCTAGGGCCAAGACAGGGGCAAACCTGCGCCCAAATAGGGCCAACATCGGCCAACAACAACAACAACAACAACAAAACAAGGACGACAACGACAACCACAACAACAGCAACAGCAACAACAACAACAACAACAACCACAACCACAACCTAGGGCCAAGACAGGGGCAAACCTGCGCCCAAATAGGGCCAACATCGGCCAACAACAACAACAACAACAACAACAAAAAAAACAACGACGACCACGACAACAACAACAACAACAACAACAACAACACCAGAACATGGACATGGATTACACCCAACGCATACCTTCCACGGGTCTGCTTTGGCCGGCGCCCGGCTGTCAGGCGTAAGCCTCATAAATATACTGCAAATATATTATATATTAATGCAAATAAAATCAAGATAATGCAATCTTTGGACAACTGGTGTAGCTAATATAGCTCAGAGGTCCCCGCCCTTTGGAATATTTTGGGATGTTGACATGACATGACATACATTAGTGTAATTCACATATCCTTGACATATACTTTTACATATACATTATAAAATTATACAGTATACACTACGTATACACATATGGTTGACATCGGGTCCCACATGTTGACATCCCCAAGTCCTTCAAGTCCTTCAAGTTCTTGGGTGTGCTGTTCGCATCGCCTCAATGGTTCCTGCATCCAAGTCGTGGATGTCGCAGCTTTTGGCCAGATAAGCCTGCGTCATTTCTGAACCTCGGTGGATTCTGGATTTTGGGTGGACACCAAGTACTCATTTCAACTCATATCGGACCAGTCAAGCTCCCAGAAGCTTCCCAATCTTTGGATAAGAGATGATAAGATCACGGGATGCTCAACCGAGATCCTTGCAGCTTCCAGTAGCGTGGCAAGCCAAAGTGATAACTTCATCCAAACCCTGAAAGAGACAGGTATCAGCTGAGGTAAAAACCAGCTCGTGTGATCCGATTCCAAAAAAGAACGTCTACAACTTCCCAACACAAATCTTAAGCACAATGCTACAACATGCTACAACCTCGTATAAGGATGTAAAAGGCATAAGGTCATGCGCTCAGTGGGCCTGCGGCACTCCATGAGTGAAAAGCTCCTGTACGGAGGATGTGTAGATGCCTGGCCAACAAAGCAACTGACAACTTCTAACATTCTAATAAGCATGTACCGAGCATCTCTCATCTGCAAACTATGACAATGTAGTCAGTCAATCGGCCATTTACTTTCTCTTCGATCTCATTTCGGCAGGGTTCTTGCTGGATTATGCTTGTACCGACAGAATCCACCGATTGTGAAACAATTACCATGACTAAGCTTCATTGATCTTCATTGTATCCAAAAAGTCTCCTTGGTCAAGCTCTTGCTCGACTCCCCACCAACCTCGTGCATCGCCTACAGGCATAGGCCCACTGCCATCCACATCAAGGCCTGAAGTACTGCAGAGTCACACCGCAGCTGCAAAAGAGCGCTCTTCACAGACTGCACAAATCAATACAAATCATGCTTTGCAAATCATTTTCAAACCATTTTCAAATGATTGGACCGCTTGATGCCGCTTGGACTGTCGAGATCCAGACAAAGTCTCATCGGGTGCCCTGGTGGTGCATCGATGGACGACTCCCAGTGCTCCGCCGTGACCATGGCACTGGAGGCGAAGCACAGCTTATAAGCACAGCTTAAGCGTTTCAGATTTTTTCTTTCACCTCTTTCACCTTCCACATTCCACATTCTAAGACCTTCCACGTTTCACTTCTAAGACCTTCGACCTCCTTGACAGGTCGAACAGCCTCTCGTTGGTAAGGTAGAGAATTTCTGGCCATGGCTTTGGACGGCCAGCAACTCCCTGAGGCAAAAGGGCAGCAAAAGGGCAAGCACATTCAAACGGGCAAAGGCAAAATGTGATCAAAACGTGTAAAATGTGGTCAAAATTCTGACGTTGTCTCAGAATGAGTTTTTATCTTGCGAAGCCTGAAATGAACACACAAGACTTGAGGTCCTGCTTAGCCTCCGAGTCTCTAACGTACATGGGGCCCATCGCACCCATCGGCTTTGTCGAATCTGTGCAGTCTGCTGCCAAAAAGCCCGACCTTGTCACCGTGTCGTAACTGTGCATTCCAAAATGTCGTCTGAACTCAACGCACAACATGTCCGCGCACCCAAAACAACCTAGCCAGCTATAGGGGTATGACGTACTGGAGCCGCAACCACCAGGTTCGCAGACCAGCCGCAGCACCTACCAGCTTCATCAGCTTCTGTGATCTGTGGATCTACTTCTGGTTGTGGGTGATTAAAACAATTGCCAGCTGACAAGCCATTGAACTGTTGCCAGGCCAAGCTGCTGAGCCCCAGGAGACTGCCATCCGTACCTCAAACGCAGTAACGCAAGACGTGGCACTAGACCCAAACCATGCATCTCTCTGCGTCTCTCTACATCTCCATCATCTTGACACTTTGGCGCACGGGAGAAATGTAGATGGTGTATCCTGTCTCACCAGCCTTGGCTTCCAACTCCATACCCTTTGAATCCAATTTCATCTTCTCACAGGATCAAGAAGATGAAGAAGATGAAATAAGCAACATTGTTTCGCATCTCTCTCAAGCAAATGGTTGGATCCACGATTCGTTCTGAGTACATGACTGGAAAAATAATTCCAGGCCCGTCTGCATCAACACAAATCCTGATCATGCTGGGCTTAGCATGCTTACCATCCCAGGGATTGAGAGGTTATCCTGGGGGGGGCCTCCAATATGACCCATCAACGGTTAACATCTCTAAAGTGTCCATCTCTGACTGGTGCAGACTGGTTGGGACTTGGATATCAAATTTTGAGTTATGGTCAATTTGCGTACAACAACAGGGATTCTGGTCATGGCAGCCAATTTTTACTGGAGTGGAGTCCGACACAAATTTGTCACCGTCCAATTTGTCCAAGTCTTCACTTTGCTAAAGTGGCTAAAGTCGCCCTTTGATTTTGATCCTTCAAGTGTAGGCTAAGTGCTGGGGTGGCTGTTTGTGCGCTGCAGAAAATACATCTTTCCTGTGACTTGAGGACACTGCTGATAGGTATAACCTGCTGGCAACGCTGCAGTGCTCAAATTCAAGCCGAAGCGTTCGTAAGCCAAACCTTGGTGTGCGTAGTGCATTACCACATTGAGAAATCAACAAGACAAAATAAAACAATAAAAATCAAGCATAAAAATCAAGCATGAATGAGCACGAAAAGATTTGCGTGTCCAAGAATGGAGGACTACCCGACAGTAGTCCCGGACTCCCTACAAGAATCGACAAATTTTGGTCGATTTGTTTCGTCCCGGCTCTTGCAGCAGGTGCTTTGGAAAGCTGCAGATTGTCGTTTGGAGTAACATTTCTTTCAGGTTTCTGGGAACTTATGGGCATACAAGGACTCACCACTCCTGCAAAACACTTTCGCAGGTTTTTGAATCTCAGTTTGTCTGTAGCCACCCAAGGCTCTCGCCATAGAAGGATGGGAGTTTCTGCAGCTGCTGTGCTGGGGAGATCGGCGTGCATTCGCCCATGAGCGACAAAAAGCCCTGGCCACAGCTGACGCTGGTGGTTCCTGGATTGATCCTGGATTGTACACTGCCGCAATCTGCCGCATTTGTCTCGGCAATGCACGAGCCTCTGACTCAGTGCCACAGCCACCACCACCAGGCAAGCACAACATGACCAGCTCAAGAACTCCTCGACTATTCTCAAACTCCAAGCGCATGCCTTTTGACTTTTTTATTTGCCATCCGACCCCTCATTCATGTTCGTTCTGTCACTGCATTTTAATACATACGAGTGCGATCTTATGTCTTTTGCTTCTGCTGACATCTTGACAATCTCTTGATTCATCTCGCTCTGCGCCTACAGGTTCAGGAACCAATATATTATGCTAAGGCCAGAACTACCAGCTGCCACTGATGCCAGTCTCCGACCAAACCTTTTGGAAATGGAGCAACCCGAACACAGCAAACTGTGCTTAGGAAAAAGGAGTTGACGAATGTCAACAATATTTGAACACCCAGCTGATCTAAGGGCACCTGTCACAGTGATTGCCTGACAAAGAATTGAAAGGTAGGACATGGCAGGACGGCTTTATGTTGAGGTCCCGAGCTGTGAAGGTTCAGACTCTTCTCTTTCATCGAAGCCTTGCTTTGCACAGCGCTGTTTTTTTTTGTTGCCGCCCATGTCTTCGTGGCATTCTTTGTTGACACACTATATTGACATGTTGACACACTATGAGTCGCATTGAGTGTGTCAAAATACATTCACCAATCTGTCGAAAGCTCTCGGAAGTCCACTGATTGATGCAATAGCCGTCAGGTACATAGAGATCCCGGAGTCACCAGCCTTTGGCCACTGTTGTATTCACTGTAAGCAATGTATATGCAATGTATGCTCACGTGACACGTGGGTTCCTTGACTCATCATCTTTGATTCATCTTGATTGCTATCAGATGCTATCAGTATCAGTTTCTATATCAGTCTCTATCACCCTCCACTCTTGAGAATTCAGCTCGGTATTGCGTTCCAGCACCATCTAAGTCCAAGCATACCCGATATTGACCTTGCGTTGATCAGCTTGACAACTCTACATCGGAGCACTGTGGACTGCTTGGCTTCAAAGATTCACAGCAACATCAGCAACAAAATAGGACACGTGCTACACGTGCTGCTCACTTTGCTGCTTCTATGCTCGAGTCTCACACGGCCGCTCCCCAAGCCGCGGGTGTCAAAGCTGGCTGTGAAACCTTGCGAACCTGGAAAGCAAAAACAGTGCCTTGCCGGTGCTTGCCAAGTACCAAGGCTTGAAATGGTAACATAATGATGGCATATTGCCAGCCTTCTTGCAGCTGAACCGCGCTGGTGCTGTTGGGCCTTGGAACAGGCAGTGCTGAAACACAAAAAGGCCGCTACAACCACAGCCACACACACAGTACAGCTGCAAATTGCATGACACATTTTTCCGTAGCATGAGTATAGAAGAACCGTGAAGAACCTAGAACTCAGAGTCAAGCGAGATAGCAAGAGGCACAGCATTCGGTGACTCGTCGCATGCTATGGCCAGCTGGGCTGTTGAAAGACCACTAATACAGCCTGCAACAAGTGGATACAAGTGGGATGTTGAGTACTGTCTAGTTCAATCAGTGTTCAATCAGTGTTCAATCTGGTTATGTTTTTTCATGTTCATTCATCTCTGTACTCTCTTGTCATGTGACATGACATGACATGAGACAAAACCACAGCAATTCTCCGGAAACTTGCCTGTGCAAGCCACGGTAAGAACCGAGCTCTGCCCCTTGACCAGCCTGTACTATCTGTACATATCTGTACAAAAGAACACTTTGGAAAAGAAGCTGCTTTTGCCCCGATCATTTCTTAAAATTTTCAAACAAGTTCCAATATGTTCCAATTGTTTGCTTCTGCGCAGAACTTGGACATCGTGGGCTGTGTTCTCGTTTCTACATGTTTCTACGATCGATCCAGCAAGCTGGCCTTGATGGTCCCACCGTTGATGTCAATGGACTAACCTTGATCAACGAGCTTTTGTCGCCAAACTGAAACAAAAGCAGTCCATGACTCAAACCAGCGAAATTCAAGAACTTTGGCCATCGTTGACCTACAGAAAAAAGGAACACACATACAAAACTAATATGTACCAGTATGTACCAACATGTACCAATATCTACCAATGATACACGAGTTCCATTGGAGTCTACGCCCCAACTGCCATGTATCTCTTGTCGCAAATCCAAGCCCTGCACATAGACTTCAATACCGGAGTCTCCGATTTCAAGCCTTTCAAAATGCAAGGCATGCGATTGTGATGCGATTGTGAGATCCTTCAATGCCATGGCTTGGGCTGGATGGCAAGAGGGCTTTGCGTCTTTACCTTTTTGACTGTGAAACCAAGTTTGCCTGGCATCTGCATAAGGTACCCTCACATATCCCAAAATCAAATGACACTCATTTTGCACTCATTATGTTCCATCAAGTTATTGCTTTGTGGGAGTGACACACTATGTTCTGCCTTAACTTCACAGATCCTCGCCCTGTGCCGATTTCCCTTGTCAAGCATTTCTTGCACATTTTACATCATTTTACCCAGGTGCTTCAGAAGTGAAGCCTTGAGCTGAAGCCATCCATGTCGGTGCACAGGGGCAAATGCGACCCTGGAGCCAGTGAACCTGGGAAATTTTCATTGTGCGAGAAAATGCACAAGATTCATATAGACCTGGGATATTCATGGGCTCATAGGGATGCAAAAGTTGGAGGTCTATCCGTGTTGCACAGATTCCTGAGTCGACAGCAGGTGTCCAGTTGAAGAACAAACTCCTGAGAGGCCAAGCCATCAAGCAACCTATCAAGACGGTAAACGCATGAAGCTGTTTATCTTGACGTCACATAGTCATTGGTATTTAGATGTCTTAGGGGCCAAGATATATTAAATTCAAATAAATTCAAGGTATTTATTTGACACAGACATGGAGCTCTAGGAAATTCTATGGAAATTCTAGGAACTCTATAGGGTACCGGGTAGGAACTCTGAAGATTGGATACTCGTCACAGCTCCTCCCCGGAGGTCACGAAAGATGTCGCATCAGTTGCAGCTTCGGAGCCACCAAGACCTGCAAGTCATACGACATGTCCGACATGTCCCATGCTGGTGGAAATTGGATGAAACTGGCATCCGCAATATCCAAAATCTTTTGATATATTTCAAATTACTTAAATATGTGGACCTTACATTTTTTAACATTTTTTTTTACATATTTTTACATGATGTCTCTCAACTTGAGCTCTGCATGTGCTCTGCGTGTGCTCTGCATGTGCTCTGGGGTGGCCACATGCATCACTAAACCTGCAGGATCCAGGAGACGATGGGCTTTCGATATCTTTAACTTGGCACATCTTGTCGCTTTTTTGGAGACCAAAGTCGCTTCAGGATTTGGGTGTCTCTATCTCCATATTTTTATGTCAGGTACATTTGACATTTGATGTGTACCAGGTACTTTTACTGCCCGAGCTGGTTGTTATGTCACACATTGTTCTTTACCTATCCAAGTTCGAGCCACTTCAGGCCTGGATGCATTCGAATAGTTCATGGCATCCTTGTCATCAGGAAGCGCGGAAGTGCATTCGAACAGATTTGGACCATAAGTGTTGCTCTTCACAAACAAAAATCGACTGTGTGGTGCTTGCTCTGATCCCTCTGCTCACTCCTCTGGCTGTAGATTCCTCGAAGGGCCTAAACTAGTGGAAAGGGCCAAAATTCCACAGAGCAGTTTCACACTGATTTCACAGTGACACACTAAATAGGAAAAACATGGAAAAACATGTTCCAATCTTTCCTTGAATTGAGCAGCTTCATATTCTTTGTCCTGGCATTGTGAGGGCAGGACAGCTGTCTGCCAAGAAGCCTTGTGCTGAGGAGCAACCAAGGCAGGGCACCTGTAGTTTTCCGATCAGCGGGTGGCACAAGCGGCAAAGCGTACACCATACCGACTATACCAGCTTCAGCTTTGTCAAACGCGTGCCACAGGGATGCTACTTGTTGCGAACTGTGACAACCTGATGACATCGCTGGCGAGCTTGCTACACCTTCAAACTGGACCGGCATTTACATAGCCAAATTAGTGAATGTTGAATTGAAATTGAATTGAATCGTCCTGTCACTTTAAATCCGAAGAAAACTACACGACGAACAACGGCACGACGAGGTCTTCTGCCTTCAACTGCGAACTGGGTGACAGTGGCAGTGAGAAGTGCCCAGGAGAGGAAAACTTGGCGCGATGAGACGTTGAGTTCATGAACAATTTAAATACATCGGACTTGATTGTCTTGAACTCTGCCTTTCTAGAACTTTAAAATGCCATGAGATTTGGGTTGTTTCTACTGAGACAAACTTGCGGTTTTGCTGCAAGTGCGGTTCCATTTGGCCATTTGGCTGTGACTGCAAGTGAGCATAGGTCCGAAGCTTTTCTGCTGTCATCTGGGGCTTCAACTGCTGATGCATAGACTTGCCACATAGCTTTCCCGCTGGGGAAGTCTGTGAGCTCTTCACCTGAAGTCCACCCAGGGACCCAACAATCCGCAAGGACAGTTCTATGACATGCATCTGCTGCATCTGCTGCATCTGCATATCATCTGCATCTGAAGAACAACTGAAACACGTGGAAAAAACACCGCGATTCTGCCCTTCGCATCGAATGCCAACATGGAACATGGTATTCACATGTAGTCACATATTTAATATGTGACAGATGATACAGATGCTTATCATCTTTCATAAAGATCAATGATATTCAATGATCAGGGTTACCCAAATTACATGAAATCAATGATGCTAGAGGTAAATCTGATACCAGAGGTAAACATTGTAAACATATGTAAACATATGTAAACATGGCATATGCCAAGTTGCCATCCAAATCAATGCAAATCTCGTAGTGGATGCCAGGCTCCAGGTGAGTAGCATCCAACTGAGCAGCCCATTGGTATCCGCCTCGGTGTCCGATCCAACAGGCCCTTGGCCATGGCGGCCCTTGGCCATGGCGGCCCATGGCCATGGCGAGGGACGGCAGTTTCCCAGGGCACCTCCAGAGGCAGTGAGAGGAGCTGCAGCTGTCCTGGAGCATCGAGCATCCATGAGTCGAGCCAAAACTCTGCAGCATTCCCCGCAGTGCCAACATGTGCCAAAACTACAGGTCCTGTTTGCCGCACTGGAGGCATTTACGCTGCAGTTCAGTGCCAGGTAGACCTGTCAAAATGAATATACGGTAACCGTAGTGGCAAAATGTGACCAGTGAAATGGGAAAAAACATTGGGATGGAAGCCGTCCTGAAACTGAAAACACCTCAAGTGCCGCAGACCTCTGAGAGGGTGCTGCAGCCTGTGCAGTTTAATTGCAGAGATTGGGAAGGAGCCTGAGCAGAAATCAGGAGCAAATGGAGTTTAGAAACTCATGAAAGCACGATGAAAGCACGTTCCACATTTAGAAGCTCATCTTCTCATGTCAATGATTGGCTGCTGTAAAGTATGAGATTAGCACACTGAAAATCACGGATGTAGAGGTTGCAGAGATTGGCGACACGAATAAGGACCTCAACCGCACTGCCAAAAGGGTTGCAGGAAAAGAGCCGTGCCAAATGTTATTACATTGATTTACATTGTAACATATTGTAACTGTTTGACATTTTTTAAATAATATTCCTTGCTGTCCCGTGAGGTTCACGCAGGCCACTGTCTCCCATCGCCCTGTCCTGGCATTTGTGGCGAAAATCATCAAGCTCAAGCTTTTTTGTGTCTAACCAAATGAAACATCATGAAACCATCTGCCGTAGCTGCCGTAGCTTTTGGCAGTCCTGGTTCCCAAGGCACAAGGTAAGGATTTGCCCAGCAGGCATTGTGGATGCGTCCAAGCTGGCTAGGAGGACACCTGTCTCAGAGATACGGTTCAGAAATGTTCAGAATGGGTTAGACCAGAAGCAATGTGAAACATTGTGAAACAACTTCTAGATCTGCGGACTGAACTGACATACGATCATACGAGGTTTCTATGATCATGACGTCTATCATGACAGAAGAGTGCCAGCTGCACAAATTCCGAACCGCAAATTCTCATTTATCTCATACAGTGATCAAAACTCAATGACACGCTGGCAGAGTTACTGATATAGACAGACCATTGAAGCAGTTGCTTAAAATCACATTGCATGCGCCTCCACTGCTTATTGCAAGCGCCGTAGGAGAAGAAATGACATTGCTGGAAAGAACGGGCACCTTTCAAACATCATCTGCATACAGCATACATTGTGAGTACAGGATGCTATTCAGATGATTCACATGATTCACATGTATTCACATGCTGTTTGCAACAGTTTGCGGTTCTCTTCTGTTTTCTCCTTTTGTGTCTTCGGAAAGTCGGTCTTCATCAGAAGTCAGAATTGTACCACTGGTTACCACTGCACCTGCTGCATGGTGTCCCATCGGGAGCACTCTGTGGCCAAGGTCACATGTGTTAGAGATGCGCAGCCCTGCTTGCAGTCAAGACCTGATGGGCAGCATGGTCAAACTCCATCAAAGTGCAAAACCTATAAAAACGTGCCCGTTTCAAGATCTTTCAGACTTTCAAGTTCTTTTCTTAAAGACAAAATTGTGTGTCAGTTGCATTGAGATTTGGGCTGATGAGCTGCATCTGATTCCGGAGAATGGCTTCCTGACAAGTTAATCTTCAGTGGTCGTTGAGTCGTTGAGGATGCCATATGTATCATATGAATCATATGTTTGACCACTGAAAGACCATCAAGACCCTGCACGTGCCTGTTGCAAGCTCACGTCCGGGGCCACGAAAACGGCTTCACCTGATGGCCCTGTCACATTCTCCACCACGACCTAGGTCCACTGATGTCCACTGCGCCATGTGCCAACCACATCGAAATACGTTTGTGGAAGCAAAATGAAGCAAACACGTTTCAAATCGTTTCAACATCTCATGAATCTCATGTAACTATCCTGCCTGGAGAGAGCAACATCCCATAACATGCCATGACTCTCAACAAAATTCTGAGTTGAGACACAAAGCCGTTGGGCCGTTGGACGGTGATTGTTGGACAGATTGTTTTTCCCGGTGAGCTCCCGGGCGCACAGCTGATAGAACAAACCAGGTTCCGTGTGGTATGTGGTCAACCTGTGGGGCTCTTGGCTACGAAGGCTCTAAGGATCAAATCATTTACGAAGCCTGTCTCTGGGTAAGCATTGCCGTTGCATCTGAGATGTTGGCATTGCAGTCCATGAGTTGGACTGTACTGGTGGCAACAATGCTGTGACGTTGGAGGCCTTGCCGACACCAGCACACAACACCTTGAGCTCTGACCGCTACCCCGAGGAGCCAACATTTTGCAGCGAGCACGTCAACGACAGGAACACCTCAGGGCAGGGCCAACGTTTCAACATGTTTCAACGTTTACGAAATTTTACGAAATTTTACGATACATTGAACTTCGTAAACTACATTGAATTACTCAAAGGACATGCAAAGGACATGCAAAGTGCTCCGATCAAGTCATCCTATTGCGGGTAGCTTAACGCTCGGACAAGCGAACAGTTTGGCATCAATGCGAAAAAACGTACGAAACTGACAGCTGCACTTGCGTCTCTTCCGTGCACGTGCTGCATTCAATCTCCACTGGGTGTTTTCCGGCCACCTGCAGTTGTAACATGTTCCCTTGGGATGAACACAATGAACACTTGGGCTAATTGGCTAACTGCTTGAACAAACAAAGTCCGCAAATGTCTGCAAATTCCACCATTCTCAGTTTCCAGCCCCCAGAGTGAGTGGAAAGATCTGGCCTCATGTATGCTCCATGTTTGCCCCCTGCTTTCCGATTTGCTCATACGACATACGACCAAAATCGTCATGGAATCTACCGGACCGAGCGACGAGTAGCTCTCAGATCGCACATCGCACACCAAGTTTCCAGCTGATAGGGCTCACGAAGAGGTTGCCTACCGCCCCAGCTTGAAGTCCAGAAGATGCCTCACAATGAATGGCTTCTGCAACCATCTGGAACCTAGTGATCAAGACTTTCTGGTCTAAACAAACACAACAGCTCTTATTTTCGACGGTACGGTAAAGGTAAGGTCAGTTTCCTGCGCAGCACAAAGTCAAAATTGCTGAAAATAAACGCACCCTGCTTTGCAACCTGTGCAGTCAGGTTGGAGGCCTACATTCACAGACCAGAACCCCACAGTTTTGCGAAGTTTGACATGTCAACGCGGTAGTCCAACCTGGCCATCCACGTCTATACAAAGATTGTACCACCTGCAGCAGAGGGCAAAACCGTTTTACAAGCAATTGTTCACTGAAACCTCCAACCGCGGTCCTAGATAACTAGAGCTTTACATGGATCAACAAGGCAAAGTGACAGCAGCTAATTCTTCATGTCTGCATGCTTTCCTTTGCCTTGCAATTCTGCTCTGCCTTGCCTAGAGCTCAAGGTGCTAGCATCGACTGTGGCAATCCTGCATCATCGCAGAGTGATGAAGTGTTGGTCAGAAACTCATTGCAACACCAGCTGGGAAGAAAATGGATGAACTTGAACATATGAATGGAAAACAAGGAGAGAGTGTATTGCACGACAAAAAATCAAACAGTGTCCTGTACCACAAAACTAGAAACCAAAGCCCTTGAAACGCTTCTTCGTATTTGAAAGCAGAATTTACGCAATTCAACATATTCAACTCTTTGTCAGTCTTAGACCAGTGGATTTCCATGTGCTTTTCATCCGGCAAGTCCTTTGCAGCGTTCCACTTGAAGGTTGCATCAGCCTCAGCAAGTTTAGTCAATCTATCGGTTTAAAACTTTATGAAACACAATTCTTGTGCCTTGCGCCGTTTGGAGGGATGTTGGTGCTGCAATTGTCAGCCGCAAATGCCTCAGTCAACACTTTGCTCAAGCTCACTTGGAAAACCAACCAATATTCATCCATATCGCCATATCCAACCTTTCTTGAGGTCAAGCAATCTTAGCTCATAATTTTCACATACAGTCACTGTATGAATGCTGCATCACTTCGCCTCCGCCGTGTTTGGAGGACAACCGCTGGGATCGCATTCGAGAAGGACTGATTGCTGGACCTGCCCGCAGGAAGAGTTTCCAGCTTTGAAAGACAGCAGTTTAGAGTGGAAGTTCAGAATGTGTTCATTCTTGTTCATTTTATAGAGTATCGAGAACACTTTCTATCAAATTTGCTTTCTGTGCATCATAACTAATCTCATACTAATCCCTAAAGGTCTCTTTCTGCTGAATTTTGAGGTGACCTTGTCAGTATACCATGGCTACGAGTCAAAACCCTGTAATGTTGGGTTAGGATTAATAAAACCCCCAAATTAATCATACCCCTTTTCACCGGAAATTTTTGGGCAATACTAAAGTCCTCTACGTGCTGATTTCCCCCCCTAATAATGGAACACTACCCCCGAATTAATCATACCCCTCCGGGATCCCCAAATTTTTGGTAGACTAATTTGCTATTACTCCCTTTTACTTTTTAATTCGGATTACAATTTCCATGAGAAAACCTATGGTAACCCATCAGATTCCTATGAGAAAAGATGAGAAAACCTATGATAAACCATCAGATTCCTATGAGAAAAGATGAGAAAAGCTATGATAAACCATCAGATTCCTATGAGAAAAGATGAGAAAAGCTATGATAAACCATCAGATTCCTATGAGAAAAGATGGGAAAACCTATGATAAACCATCAGATTCCTATGAGAAAAGATGAGAAAACCTATGATAAACCATCAGATTCCTATGAGAAAAGATGAGAAAACCTATGATAAACCATCAGATTCCTATGAGAAAAGATTGAGAACCTATGATAAACCATCAGATTTCCTATGAGAAAAGATGAGAATAACCTATGAAACCATCAGATTCTATGAGAAAAGATTGAGAAAAGCCTATGATAAACCATCAGATTCCTATGAGA